CATTAAAACTACATAAAATTAGGATTCAGTCCAAATTTGTAACCATCAAGACAAATTAAGTCATATATAAGGATTTACTTATGATATCAGAACAATCCAGATATTAAAATGTAGCTTTTAAAGTCAAGAATCTGAAAATGTAATTAGGTCATTTTGACCAAATTTGACTTAAACCTCATTTTGATATGATGGGTCACACATGTAGTTAGGAAAACAGAAAAAAAAAGATGTTATTCCATGACATCATTACTTGACAGAYGTACATCAGCCACAGCAAGACCTCATGTGAATGGAAAGTCAGCTAGCACCTTGTGCCATTCTCTGCACCGTGTCCATGTAAATTTAATGGCAAGACTAAGTGCTCGGTGGTAAATTACAGCATACGTCCACAGAGCTGTCATCATGTCTTTCGGATCTGCTGCTCAGTTTGATTAGAGAGGGCTGATATTTATATATATGGTCTGCAGCCTTTACCATAGGCAGAACCACAGTGATCATTCATATGGATATGCCACCTATCACTGCATTTTTAAGTACGTGTCCATCAGGAGCCTAGGGGCTGAAATGGAATCAATACTTGAGATTATTTGGAGTCTCCAGACTCTCTTTACCTTGGGCTCTTCAATCTCCCCCCCTACTCAATGGACTCATTTTGACATCATTCCGCTCTAAATGAGGTGTGTCCGAGTTTGTGTGTACGTGGGTGTGCACAAGCGTGAGCACCCAAGTGCATCTGTCTGAGCACATTACTGTAGCACCATAAGATGTAATAAGCTGTCAGAAACTTGCTTCCACACTTTCAAGCATGCGAATGCTAATCAGACAGTGATTTGCTTGTTCTGTCTGCACTCTCGCAGCCAATCTCAGAAGAAACTATTGTGCTTGTACGAGCGTGCTTTGTGTCAGGCAGCAATTTCTCCCCACAGTGAGCCACACTCAGCCAAGACCCCTGCAGACCCCTAAGACCAGGCTCTCCCTGGCTCTCAAGACAATCATCAGCAGCAGTCCTAAACATCTCAAATTAAAGTCTTGCAGTGATGGATGACTCTCAATCTCCTGGAGATATTGCACACGCTTCTTGTCTGAATGATGGGCAACTCCTCTCCACTCAACTTAGCAATTATTTATATAGATTCGTCTCTGTTCATCCGTCAGTTATTTTATTTTTTTCCCTTTTCTTTTTCAGACAGTGTTTCTTCCTTTTTGTGGCAGAAAAGCCCCCGCAGAGGTAAAAGCTCGCACTTTGTGCAGCTTTCTGATTTGGAGGCTTTTTTGGAAAACAAACGAATATGACTTTCCCTGTGGTATACGCATGTTATCTGAGGCGGYGGTGAAAATAGAAGTAGGAAAGATGCAGTTACCTGATGATACCATTTCATATCGAGGACACAACTGTTTTGCCCTGAGAGAAGACGAAGCATTGAGCTCAGCATGAAGTTCTGTGTAAGATAAAAGGTGAGGCGGGTCCTCAGAGACTCGACTGCCGAGCCTGAACACTGATTATTACTCATAYGAGCCCTGCTGTGGTTTTTATCTTAGAATGTCCACAGTTGGAGGGCTTGATAAAAAAACAACATTATTAATCTGCGTTCTTTATTTTTCTTTCTATATTTTTTTATTCCCCTATGATTGCATTTAAATAGATTCCAGTTCACAACCCCACAGTTTAAAGATATTTGAAGGAAACCTCAATTAGTTCAATTGGCTCCTCTCTGGTTCAAATATAA